TTAATGTATTTTACGATGTTTAAATTTCTTGAGATTAAGTGAAAGTGAAGCAACTTCTGTTATAAACTGATCTACTGGTATTGTATATTGTTTTATGAATGATGTTTGTCCTGACGTGTTATCGTTCTGAATGCTCAGTATGATCCAAATGCTTGCAAAAAAAAATCTGGGAAATGATTCATGTGGGAATTGAACCCATGACCTTCAGACATCTAGCCTGGTGTCTTAACCATTTTACCTCTGAGCTTGTACATGTTGGCTAGTGATAAAACCGATCCCTAAGTAGCAGCAGGTACTGCAATGCTATTCCGATGGGTTTTTTACTGGGTTTTTTGATATCTTTCTTTATTACATTTGTTTTTTTTAAAAAATTGTTTTGATACATTTTTTGACTGAATTTATTTTATTAGAAACAACTTAATTTTTTATATATTTAATAAATTAATTTAAATTGAACGTGTTTTATGCTTAGATTACAATGTGAATCATATTTATAATGTTTGTATGTTTTATAAGATGCGAATAAATCAAATCAAAAATAAAAATGGTATAATTTGCTAGTTAATGATAGTTAATAAATTTGTATAAATATGTAATTGTTAATTTTATTTTTGAATTTTTTTTTTACAGGTACAGGTATATAAAATAGTAGATTTTAATTGAGGATAATGTTAATGAAATTTTTTAACAGTTTATTATATAAAATCTGAGTAATGCTATCAGTGGTGACTCTAGGATATATTTTGTGTGGGGGCTGCGCTATCCGACAGGGGGACTTGGGCTCGTAGGCCCAAGCTGGGGGAAGGGTTTGAGAGGGTGTACCCCTCCCAAATGAGATTTTTTTTAGAAATAGGAACCTCTGGATGGCCAGAAATGACACTCTCTGATTGTGACAGACGTGTGGGCTTGGCGTGGGCCTATTTTTATATATTTTTTAGTCCGACTGCCCAACTAGCTTTGTCCTATGTGGGGGCTTAAACCCCTGCTGCCCCCCCCCCCCCCCCCCCCCCCGCTGGTGCCACCACTGACTGCTATATGGTAGTTTGTCTTTTTATTTCATTTAAGGCTATTGCTAGAGGTATGTACCGTACTGCATGTTTCTATTATTAAAGATAAGGAAGGGGGGGGGGACATGAAAAATAAGGATGAAAAAAAGGCCACAAATAAAAATATACTACTAATTTGCAGAGACGAGCCTATGGCGCTCTACCTAATGTTTTAACATCTATGATAAGCTACCAGACATGGGATTCAAGATTAGTGAGGGATAACTTAATACTGTAGCCCTGTTTAATTGTAATATTTTTTTTTTCTGTAGGAAGTTGCTGATGTAAATTTTTTTTAATCAAGTTGTGAGTATGTTTATTAGTTAGTGTAAGTTCCGGTATGCATGTAGCCAAGTTTTGAAGTTTTGATAGTATTTTATTTAAATGATTTACCCTTTAGGTTGATCTAATAAAATTTAATATTTATTAGCTTTCAACTGGTAGTTGTCATATTCTTTGAAGATATCCCTTCCCTATTTAAGAAACTTCATCTTCCCCCTCCCAATATGTATTCTTTAATGGCACCAGATGATCATATCTTTATCCAGCCATTCATTTTTCTCATTGAAAAAAAAAATCAAATTAATTGATTAATGCTATAGAGGGCACTGTTCATATTATACAGTCATTATTTTTATAATTGGTGCTTAGACTGGTCAGTCCTCAAATCAACTTGTTTATAGAGTTTACTTGAGTTTACCTGTCAAAATCATGTTTTGTAACACTTTATGATTTGATTTATTTGCCATCTAATATGACATCATCTTTATCTCATTTTGTTTTCTCTATTCACTTCAAGGTGTTGTTAACAAAATATGATCAAATTTCTTTAGTATTACCTGTACCACACAATGCAGAGGCTTAGTATGATGGGCTAACAGCTCATTCCCCTATGTTCAGTATTGAATACGACAGGGCCCCCTAGGTCATGGTTATCTCGATTGGCCCAACTTTAGCCCCCCCACCCCTTTTTGGTCATCTCTGTATCCGCCCCTGTACGGGACTGTAGTTTTAACTTTCTGTACCATATTATTTATTCATATTTCTCAAATAAAGCTTGACCAGACTTTATCTGAATTTGTGTTTAATTAAAAATCTACTGCCACTAACATGAAAGATTCCAAGTGCCTTCCTTCATTGCAATTCAAAATTATGGGAATGAATTGCTTATTCTTTTAATTATTTAATACGTTATACATGTAAACAAATATGTAAATGATAGAAACAGTAAACACCACACTGTTTTGTATCATTTACCTATTTGTTTACATATATATATACACACACACACACACACACACACATTGGAACATAAGATTTTAGATTTTATTCAAATATTTTGAACGTGCCTTCCTCTTCAGTGTTAGACGACTGCTGAATTAAAATAGGCCTATCAACTTAACTAATATGTACAAAATCACATATCTATTACAAATAAACTATTGAAACATTGATTTATTCTGTGTATTTTTATTTAATCTATTTTCGGTTAGCGTTGTGGAATATACATGGCACCATACTTTACATTGTATATATATGAATAAATAAATAAATAAATTATAATTAAATTAAAAAAATATCTAGAAGCCATAAACAATAACCTTGATAATTCACTATTTGTAAACTCAAACATTAACATTAATAATTGTTTTACATTAATTTTTTTAGATCTTTTAATTGATTGATCATGTTTTTTCTAAGTGATTTTAATTTAGCCAATTGAAAAATCATGGCATAATCAATTAATTATTTATGTTGATTTTTATTGAATAAATGATTACCTTCCTCGTGAACAATACGCTATCACATCCTTGTAAAAACTCATTAAAATTGATTAAGCAGATACAATAGGAAATGAATCATTGCAACAGTATCAACATAATTAGCTCAGCAGAATGCAAATTAAGACGGAATATGATATGAATCAAATTGGTTCCGATGTAGCTTATTACATTGGAGGTCTCGTTATTTCAGTGCAATTAATTTACTGATTACGTTGCTGGCAGCGAGCTGCCGTAGAATGAAATTTTTAGCCAATTATGCTCTGGCTCTCAGGCTGTTTGATTTGATCTGATTGTGTGAAGTATGATAAAAAAAAAATCGGTGAGCTTAGCAATCTGGAGTGATAAACTGAAAGACGGTGTTACTGTTTATCCTTATTACGCTCGGCACTGGCTTTCGCAGTTTACTGGCCTTTTTATTTGCAATATATATTTCATTTCTTTGGCGATTTTTAATGTGCTGAGGATTTGAAGTGCCTTCTTAAGAGCACTCATGCACAAGATGTCATTATGTCAAGTACAAGTAGACAGTTCTACTTGAATCACTTAATGGTTCTTGATATCTGAAGAATCTGATTGTACATAATATAGTATTATTTGGAGTGGATATAATGATGGTGATGGTGGTAGTAGTGGTAATAGTAATTGTGATGGTGATAGTGATGACAATAGGATAGGTGATGGTGATTGGATCGATGGTTATGGTGATTGTTATGTTGGTGATAATGATGATGATGTTTGTGATAATAATGTTGGATGATGAAGTGATTATGGTGATGGTAGTGATATGATGGTTATGATATTGGTGGTGGTGGTGGTGGTAGTGATAATAATGGTGATAATATTGGTGGTGGTGGTGGTGGTAGTGATAATGATGGTGATGTTAAGGATTGTAATAATGGTGGCTACATAATGTATTGATATGTAGAAAAATCTAGTGGAGATAATACTTAAAATCATGTAAGCAGTTTTGTCTAATCATTTTGATACTAGGAAATATATTATGTAAAAATGGTAACAACATGTTATTAATTGTTATTCTTTTCAATCTAAGTAGTTACTAAAACTGAACAAACGTTGGTAATTTCATTGAACGAATTACTATAAAAACGGGTACTTCATCCGTAATTAATTGCTGTTCAATTTGTAGATATGATGGTGCTAGTTCTTATCTCGCATCAAGCCATTTCGCAACGCTTCGGTCTCCCGTGGCTATCATCAATTGAGATTGTTCGTTGTATCAAAATCAGGTTTCATAGATTCCCCTGACGAACATAATTCATTATAAACTGTTCTCCATGTCATCTCATTTTTGTCATCTAATTTAAAGGTATCAAATCTGAGTGCTTCGATCAAGTAAAATGCGTCTATGCCCTCCTCTGCAGAATTGTATTAGAATTTAATAATTCAAAGCCTATGGGAACACAAAATATGATGCAAATGTAATAACAGAGTCTGCTGATCATCCAATCACGGTGCAGCTCCGGCCGTTAAGTTCTCGTACCTAACGTCAAGGCTAATAGAATATTCATGAGCATTGGGTGATCTTGTTTTTCTTATTTGCTTTCGTATGACTTGTATGTCTGCACGAAATTGGATAAAAATTTATCAGTTTATCAGTCATAAAATTGGCTTATTGTGCAGCGGGTAAATATATGCATAGGTTTCTGTTGAATTCGATAGTTTGTCATTTAGTGCGTTTACAAGGTGTTGCAAGTGACACAAGCATCATAAATTCCAACATTGTTATCATGTTTATTAGCCTGTGTTTTTGAGAAATATAAGAGTTTCGTTTACATATTTTAAAAAAGAAGTAATAAAAAAAAACAATTGCAGGGAATCATATGTAATATTTATAATTTTAATAATATAAATAATAAATAATTTATAATGCACCATCTTTAGAAACCTACTGTAAAATTAGAGGGGAAATAAAAAAAAAAAAACACTTTATAGAGAAAAAATTAAAAGAAATATAGTACAATTATTACAAAAGTAACCCATGACACAGTAACGTTTTGCTAGTAAAGTAAAAAAATGGTTGTACTAAAAAACATTGGGTTTCAACCTTCAGTCAAGCCAACCCTCCATTTATGGCTATTTCTGGTTTTTTTTCCCCTTTGTTTATTATTTTTTTGAATTAAGATTAATGTTGATTAATTGGTTATTTCAGATCACTATTCTTGAGTTTCGTATATACTCCTATGCCAAGCTTATCAGTGGACCTACAACTTCGTCCAGTTCTATCTGTGACCCTAGACTGCATGATGTTGTATAACACACAGTGCAATTAGAGTAAAACTGTAGAAGAAAATGGCTTAAACAGTGCATGACAATGTAAGAAATATTATTATTAATGTTAATATTATTATTAATGTTATTATAAAATCTCCTCCGTCTGGTTGCCGATTTACTCTGATCGGCTGATTGATTCCAACCACCGATTGCCTCTGATCACAGATTGCGGTTATTGAATTTTGTTTTTCTGCGTAAGCCGTCTGGACCTTAATCCGCAAGAAATCACAAACAAATGATATACACTGTGCATACGTCATCGAAAGACGTAAGTTAATGATGATGGTAGGTACTAGCTACAGTTCCTTCACCTGTAGTGATAAGTGAAGTTTATCGAAACTAGTAGTACGTAATGAAAACTGATGAAGTTTTTTAATCATACATACGTAGTAGCACAGAAAGTGTTGTCTATAATGATATTAGAAAACATATACAGTACAGTAAAATTATTTGAACATATACAACGTGATCATCCATCATTTGTACATTTTTTTTCCCAGTGAACTTCTAAATTGGTTCCCATTTCTTAGTCTTCATATTCATCATATTGATATATATACATACCATATATTCGTACCAGTCCAAACTATACTGGGGTTTTTTTCCGGAAAAAAAATATTAAATCATCATGAGAATCCGGTTCAAAAAGACATTTGGTTGTTAATGTTTATTACAAATGTGTTTTTGCAATTACATGCATTTCTACCATGTTTTGATTTTAAATGAATATAAGTTTTGTACAACCATTATATACAAAAATCATTTTTTGGAAAAAGAGAATCAGTAGGTATATTCTATTAATTTCATGACTTGAATTATAAATAATCCATTTGATATGCGTATCTAGTGACACCTAAACCGGCTTTTGCTTTCAGAATTGATTCAGTCTATATTCACACACTATTCAGTTCTTAATAGTTTCAGACAGTGGTTGATTTAAAGTTAAGTAGAGAATGTTTGTTCTAAGACCCATTAGTTCAATTCAGATTGCGTGTTGAACTTGCAGCCTAGCCTATCTTACCCAGAATGGGAACCATGTAGCAGGTAACCACCTGTCTGTAGACACCGGAATTTATCGTGCCATGTTTACTTAAGATTTCAGATATATTTCATTGCTTTGTTAATGAATAGTCACAAACCTAACAAACCTATGCTTAAGTTGCAAGACAGATTTACCCGTGTCATTTGCATCAACTACCGAACAATGCTTGTGAATTGCCAACTCTCATAACATCTGTGGTTTGATATTACGTCGGATATTTATATCCGACGGTCCGTATTGATTATCCAAAATCTGATAAGATTCGTTTGGCAATTTTCCATCGGAATATTGACTTGTTTTTGATTGTGCATTTATGCTACTGTTAACTGTAGAGCTTCATGGTTGAGTGAGTGAGCGAGTATGCCGATCAGACCCTGCCGACACTACTGCCATTGGAGTGTAACAAATTCATTGGATACGTATTCCCACTTTTCACCACTTTGATAAGTTCTGTGTATTACTTTTGATGGTTATACAAGCTGGGGAATATTACCAATGGATGATATTGCTGCAGATTTCTATATTTAATCTAGGCAAAGTGCTCTGTTTTTGTTATTAAAAGAATCATCTTTTATAATGGTTCCATTTTGAAACTGATAAGCATTCTGTTACTGTGGATACTGTTACAAATTATTATCCCAAATGTAAGAAAACAACAAATGGTTAATACACTAAGTAAAGAATGCTATTTTTTATGTTTCACTAATCTTCAATGCTAAGTTGTTTGGGAGAATTTCATTTACTTGTACATGCACAATATACAGTAATATATTTCCTTTATTTTGAAAGCAAGGTCTAAACTATTACAAATAAATTTAAAATACAAAAAAGAAAGTCAGTCTGTGACTAATTTATCTTTGTAAGATAGAAATAAATTTCATGTATAAAAACACTACAGTAACCCTAAAAACAATATTCTACATTTTGCTAGAATGCTGACACAAATCCTAATTTTCATCCTAAAACCATTTCATTGATTTTCTAAAAAACTTTCCAAAACTTGGCAAAGAATTTAAAACAAGCACCTTATGGTACTGCAAAAATTAAGGTCTGCCCAATAATAACCATAATATTGTGATATTTATATAGTGCATATTGCAATAAACTGCCTCTACAAATTTTCTAACCACAAATTTCAATAGTGAATGATTGTATCTAATATGGACATAATTAAAAATAATATATATTTTGGTGTATAAACTTGAGTCCGAATTGGCATAATTTTTAAATACTAGGCACTTTAATACATAGCGTCAAAGGATTATTCTTTTTTTTCCCCTCCCTCAACCCCCTGTAGCTGGATGCCTATATACAATCAGCTATGTTAAAATCTAAAAAGTATTTGGGGATGTACCAGAACTGATTATTCCGTATATAGGAATAATATCCTTGTAGAGTATACAATATCATATCATTTTAATTAATTTTTTTCAAATTCATATCAATTAACCTTCATCATTTGATGCATAACGGCTTATAAAAAGATCTCCGGTTTTTGTAGGTCAGACCTACTATCGGCAGGTAATTACCAACATAGGATTCAGTCAATGTGAGTCAGTACGAAATGGGTTCCAAGTGACAATTGTACTCTGCAGCATCATGGGAAATGCACCTCTTACATAGCCACGAGATGGCCACGTCCCTGTGAGACCAGTTTTCTCACTTGTGTAAATTGGAAATTTCAATTAGATTCTGTATAGGTTTCACTTAGCAATTAGCAACATTTCTTACTTACGTTAAGTACCATTCTCAATAGCTATTCATTGTTGATAGGTCACATGGCATTTGCTTGATGAAATAATGTTCTCGAAAATGTAGCGTTATTCCAATTTTCGTTCCAGGTTTGTGGAGGAATATCTTCCACTGGAATAAAGATGTAGATTACTAGTTTAGATATACTGTATGCTTTTATCATAATCTTAGAGGTCTGGTTTACAAATCCTAAAAAAAAAAAAACACTGGGATTTTTTTACTTTGTTTAAATAAAAAATTTACTCACTGATAACTGATTTATGAGAGTTTACTGAGCATATTATGTAGGTATTGTCAAGATCAGTTTTTCCTGCTTAGGCGAGACTTTTTGTATTACTTGTTTCTCGTACTTATTTTTTGAAATATCATCGGAGGAGGGCAGAATAAAAATTTAAAAAAAAATTTTGTTTTCTTATTTAGCAGATAGTTTTGCCAAAAACATCCAGATGGAGTAGAAAATAAAAATATAATTTTATTGGTGAATGTAAAATACGATGGTTAAATGTTTCAAATTTATATAATTAGGAAGAATTATACATATCTTTTATTTCTTTCTGATATTTTCACTTTTTCGTGGCGGGTGTGCTAATTGGCCAAAAATAAAATTTTATTTTTATTTGAAATGACCAATATTTGCAGTTGGCGGGTTCGCTAAAAAAGGTTTTTTTTACAAACTTGTTTTTTTACAGATCGTCGAAGGAGGGCGGATAAAAAAATAAAAATAAAATGTTGTTTTCTTATTTAGCAAGTGGTTTTGGCAAAAGCATTCAGACAGGGTGGGGGTGGGGTTTGCTGAAGCTGTAAAAACAGTTGGGTTTTGTAAATTTAAAACTTTTTAAGTTTTTTAAATTTAAATTTGCCCATGTGTTAAGAAGTGTAATACAATACACTTTTATTTGAAATATGCTAAAGAAGTTAATAAGTTTTTAATTGTTAAAATTAAAGAAATGTTTAATGTTTTTATTTAAATCGCTTAAAATAAACCATTATCAAACAAAGATACATATAAAAATACCTAGAACAGTGTCACAGCTTGCAATATGAAATGCAAAAAACAGAACATGACATTCCTAGGAACACAATACAAAACAGTGTTTTTTTTAAAAATAAGCTTGATAACTTAACTAAGTTTGTTAATAAATCATCAGGCACTCCTTTTTTTTTATTCCATTGTGTAATTTTCTTGATGGTTTTTTTCTGATCTGTTTACTTCCATTCCTTGTGATCAATAATACTTTAACCAGAAACTCTTTTTTTAATACCTATAAGTTGGATTTTTGCTTTCTATGCCCCATCATTCCACTGCTCTCACAATCAATATTGCACAAATCACTCATTGCGAAAAATGACAGTTATTGAATTCAAAGGTCTGGCCGGATTTATTTTCTACTCCCGAACAAAAAGAGGTACTGGATTTTACAAAATCCAAAATCAATTTGTCAATAAATCCATACTCATGAATATTTAATGTAATCTGGTAGATTTTTTTTCTGCTCTAAGATTAAGAATAGAGAGCATCAACCCAGGAGGCTAAAGCTCCCATGCCCAAATCCAGCATTCTTTTTCCTCCCGCCTTTTTCGACTTACTGACATCTTTTGTACGGTTGCTTGAATTAACTGGACTCCAGTAAACACTCATTGAGTAGTAAGCCTCTAATTTAGTAGCGTGCTACAGAGAGCTCAAGTCCTGTTGTTAATTGCTGAACTTGTTGTTGGTCCTCAGCATTAATAACTTTACACGACACACACATATTGAATGGAGTGTGCCCTTTGCTTTCTTAAGATAGTCGGATAATGCACCAATTAGACACCTAACCATGTTATTACCGAGGCTTTGCATTCTAAGTTGTTGTACAACTACAGTACAATCCACTAAGCCACAGAATAAGGGGCTGTTACATTGGGATACTCGTCTTCGATGATGGGCTCCTATGGCCCATTGTTGAATGACTTCTTCAATAGATTAGTAGCTACTCTGTTTGATACTACTGTAGGTGCTTATATCATCAAGTACTACTAATCTCTGTCTTAGAAGGCTGACAATGGAGATAGTTTTTTTGTTTTAATGTTTCTTTCAAAATCCTAACAATCAATGACAAAGTCTGATCCCTGACCCCTTGATTATCACAATATGTTTGGGAACAATAGATGTATGATGGAATTTAACAACACGGCAATGTCAGGCAAATCCCAAAACCCAAGTGATGCATGCTTTTGTCCCAAAGGCTATTGAATGGGATCTGGACAG